GGATGTAATTGTCGATGATAAAGAGAAGATTGCTTCACAAGATTCGTTTTTAACGCAGGGAGATTACGACACCTTTTCTCTTCAGGCGGATCTCTCGCAATATCTACAAAACTTTGTCCCTAATGATCTCCAGCAGCATAGAACAGAAGGACAACAAAAACAAGTACGTTTTTTTTTAATTTGTGCAGATATAAATATTTAGAACTTGCTAGAGAGAATTGTGTGTCCTAGTCTTTGATRTACAAAAATAGTTTTTGCTGTTACATTGTAGTTTGAATTGGAAAACAGCAAGCAAAACCGTCAAGATGAAAAAGTTGTTCTGGAAAAATTGAACAGATCAGCTCAAAGTGCCACTRGTGTTAACATACAATATCCAMGGCTTTCTTACATATCGTTAGAAGAGCAAAAAGCTTTGGTGGAGAAGTATGAGAAAGAATTAAACGGAATAGATGAAAGTTGGGAATGTAACAGCCATATAAGTTCCATAAAGGTAAGGTTTTTATTGTTCAAAACATGTCATTTATAAAGTTAAGTGATGTTTTATGGAAGGTATCTCTATGCTTATAGTCTGATATAATATRGAGAGTCCATACTAAGTGAATTGCTTGGAACCCGAGCTCTACAGTGAGATTAWTTTTCAAAGGCATTTGAAAAAAAAACAGTGTCTTTGAATACTCTATTTCAAAGATAGCAATAATAGCATATTTATTTTTATATGGAAAGGGACAGGGCTTCAAGTATAGTTGTCTGTGGTTTTGCTTGTGTTTTATCTTTATTCATAGGAATTAAAGGCAAGAGTTTTTTCAGAACAGCAAGAGTTTCAACATTTTGCTTACCAGCATGYCCGCAACAATATAGATATCCTTAATGGTATACCTGAAGATGTCAAGAAATACTTTCAGGTTGGACAATTGGGAATCATTTATTACTTTTATAGCTCACTTTAAAATATTTAATTGCCCTATGCATAGTCACACGTGATTACAGTGTTTGATTGGTTATTAATTGTAGATATCATGTATCAGTTGTAGTTCAAGAGTACACGTGTTAATACTGTTTTATCATAGTCCTAGTTCAATAGTTATCATAATTTAGGGGAATTCTTGAAAAATGCTTTTTTATAAAACATAAGAGTTACATAAAGTATAATTTCTTAGTTCTTACACAGAACGTAAKTGTAGTGGTACTCCATACCTGGTGCCATTGTACTTGACATTTAACAAAATTAACACTTCACCTTTATCAAAAGTAGATCTAAAGATTTGATGTTAATGAATGACTATAAGTTTGCCTTATTCTTATCCGTTTTAGGCCAGTCAGTTACTTAAGACTAGACAGATTAAAGACCACATGGTAAGTTACCGAAGAAAAACATACTTAACTCTAGGGAACTGAATTAAACTAAAGGGAAATAAATTTCATGAAAGAACTTTGTATTTAGTTTTGATATAAACATTGATTTGCCTAAATGCAGGGCCAATCACTGACTAAGTCTGCTCCCTTCTCCCCAACCTACTTCATCCCATCTCCCTTGGTCTCAACAACTTAACTAAACTTGTATAAAGATAATAATAATAATAATAAAAGAGTTCCCATTTTTGTGGCAACTACCTGACCATCTGCCTATGTCCATTTTCTTTAGGAACAGTTCTACAACCTACAACAGACTATTGGACTTTCAGTTGGAGCACATTTCAGAAATAATTCTTGGTTGGAATTTCAAGAAATCCTATTACAAACGGTTGGTTGTCAGAAATATAATTCAATTTCATTATCTCATCCATTCATTTAGTTTATCATTTTCTTTCTTGTATCATTCAGGGAGATGTTCCAAAAATTGAGAAACCAACAGAAAGATTTCATATTTCCTTTGATGACATGGTAAAGACGGTCTCACAGGATACTGGCACAAATGTATGTATTTTTATATTTGTAATGTGTTTTTGAGTCCAATCATACGATATTCATGTGATTTTGTAGGATCACCTTCCGCTTCATAAAGACCCAGCTGCTTTAAGTTTAGCTCGAGAGCATACAGCACATTTTGTAACTACCTCAAGCAGTTTGACAACTTTGTTTGATAATGAACAACAAGAACAAGCATGGAACATACCAGTATTTGTACTTCAGCCAGGTACGGTTCTAAAAGCGAGCAACATATATCACATGTATCCTGTGGCTTAACTTTGCTGTCATGATTTTTTTCCTTTATTTGAAAATGACTTTTCTACTCGCTTTATTTATAGGTGAAGAAATCAAGGGCACCGATGTTAACAATAAAAAAATCGTTTTTCTTGAGAAACCTTTGCCTAAAACAGACTACACACCACAGCAAGTTATGSGCAGCGTTTACAAAAGAGCTTTGATTAAACATTTGAAAACAGGCGAAGAAAAACAAACAAAAAACTTCGTTTACTCCAAGTGGAAATTTGGAAAATTTACTGTACTTCTCCGTAGTAAGTTGGATGCTTACATAACTGACGACAAAACTCACCACCAAACCTTTCTTTCKGTTGTTGCAAAGCCAGAATACTTCTCGTTCTTTGGTTATGAAAGGTTTTCGGYTAACGAAACRGCGAAATGGTGGTTGAAATCGTTGATTAGACCAAACACATTGGTTCTATGTGCTCGAATTGATACTAAAAGTCATGACGTTCTGAGGATGGACGAGTTGAACCCAGCTGACATTTTAACGTGTGGATCTGGCTTCAACCCAGGTCAAAGAATGAAAACGATTTATCAAGTACTATGTATATTGAGTGAAGTTCCTTGTGATCCGTATGTTCTGTCACACCAAAGTGGATCTCYTCATTGTTGCTTGTACAGAAAAGCTATGCAAAGTGTTACTGCAAAGAAGCCAGATATCGACCTGTATGGAAGGTAAGATATTGTAGAATTTTGGAACTAGGATTAAGTTATTTATTCAAAGAATAATCTTCGTACACTTTTTACAGATTAGACTTCTACGAGGTGCATTGTATTTAAGCCTGAATAAACAACACTTTTTCGTGCGTTCCTGGTGAAATAAGCCACGCGGGATGTTTGGAGAACACAAAAAAGGGCGTAAAAAATGTCGAGCCGGAGGCGAGAGATTTTCAGCCTTTTGAGTCCTTCAGTTTCAGTCTCCATTCTATGTGACTTACATGTGAGCATTAGATTCAATTGAACCAAAAAGGAGACAAGATTCCCACAAGGTATTCACGCGAACGCATGTAATATACTCTTTTTTAATATTTTTTTTAGATGCAATCGACCAACCTCAATAAGAGCCTTCAATACAAGTAATGTCACATGGTCTGGTCTTGATACTGAGATATTTCTAACCCACCATATAARACAAAAACTAATTCCCGCCACATTTCCTGCTGTACCACACTCGGTACTTCAAAACATCAGCAAAAAAACAGAAATTCAGTGGAATCAGAACATTTCTCGCTGTCAAAAAAAGAAAAAGAAGAAGAAGAAGAAAGCGAGGCAGCAAAGACAATCGACTAATTACYACAACRTCCCACCAGCCATCAGTCAAGRCAGCACTCCAGCTGCCATTAGTCGGTCGCAAAGGAGAAATCGTTCTCGTCGTTATCACGACTTCGATGCCATGAACTAARAATTCAGTTATTAAATTATATCATGATGCGGTTGAAAATTAAATCAATAAAACAGTAACGAAAGCCTTTCTGCTTCTCTACTTCATAGTAACATGTCTTAATCGGCCTGGGTAGCATTAGCTTTTGTTCTCTCCCCTCCGTTATATTCTCCCAGAGAATTTGATATTCGGGTTAGGTTAGTACGAGAAAACAACTTGTTTCTTTCCGGTCGGCTTCCCTTGATTCCTAGGCTCAGTCTCAAGCCGTCGGGATTTCGTGCGCCCGCGATACTCTCTATCGCGGGCGCACGAAATCCCGACGGCTGGAGACTGAGCCAACTTGATTCCTTGCGATAGCAGAGATGGCGAGGAAAGAGTTTTCTCTGGTGGTTTCATAATATTTCCACCAATTCGTTGTTTTCTCTGCATTGTATCTCATCGAATCTGACAAATGACGCCAAAGCATCATTACAACAATTTACTATTAGAGACTGCAGGAGTTTTGTTCCTCAGATGGAGTTACGTTCTTTACACCCTGTGWCCCCATATGTCATCATCTACGTCGGTTGGCAGTCCTCTGGAAATAAGTCTTTGAAGAATATCTATAATGAAAAGAGTTKGGTTTTTATCGTTTTATAGTTGAAATATAAACTACATGTATGCATGTCTTCATGCCATCATCCATTGTTTAGCACGTGACTGACGCATTTTCTTAGAGTGTTTGCGCAAAAAAATATAAAAACTGCAAAAATGGTCGAAGCTCTTAATAAAAGTCAATGTGATTGGCTGGCCTTAACAATAGGCACTATTGTCCATGCTTTGTTCTTAAATTTCACTCTAGGTTGAGCCAACCAATCACCGGGCTTGTTCTTAGGAGCTGCGATCTGAAAAAAAGATAATAAGGATGAAATCTTGGKTTGTACCATTATTTTGCCTGTCAGATAATCCACTCGTATTTGGAGTTGTCCAAGTTGTCAAAGATGGCCATTCAGGTTCACTAGGGTCTTGGAGGTCGTCGGGTTCACTAGTGTCTTGAAAGGCACCATTCGCTGGTAATTTATAATGTTTATTCTCCATTAGGATTGCTTTATACAACCACCGGACACTGTGGAAACAAGACGGAAAACCTTAAGTTCTCACCTCCTGAAAGCCAAAAAAATCTGTGGCGGATTCAGAAGGTTACAACTTGTTTCTATTTCTATATTTTGGATCCCTGGATTTTTCCTTGAAAATTGACTCAGTTTTCAGTGTGTTTTTTGATACGCGCCTCTCTTTTTACACAAACGTTATCAACTAAAACTTGCTCATCAGTTTCTTTGCTATACTTACGTATCTTCTAACTCTGCACATCTCTTGTTTGCTTGGTAAACTTTCTCCACCAGCTGCAAGTTTCCKACTGTACTAACACTTGAACTCACTTGGGACCTAAAGACACAGTTTTTTCTCTCAGATTAGAGTCCGCAACCATCTCTAATTAATATTAATGTGGAAGTGTCAATTTGAAGCAGAAGCTCACACCTCTTCATCCTTTTTAAGGTTATTGATTGCGTTAAACCGCTTTCCACTCACCGTAAGTTTCCAGTATTTGTTCCGTTCGATGMTTTTTTCGACATCTGTGGAGAATAAAATGTCCTCAGTCGATTTTTCAGCATACTTTAGGGGCATTCTCGTACCCAGATCCCGTTCTCAACGGAAAATCGAAGGCCTGGTTAAAGTTGGAGACGATACCAGAAGACCCAGAATCTGGATCGTATGATATCATGTATGGGAAATTTTGAACCAATCAAATCAAAGAATCATTCGTTTCCAAACAGAGCCTTTGTTGGGAAGCTGAGAAAGGATCTGAGTACGAGAATGACTTTAAGGGTAGCCAATAGTACAAAGTTGTACTGATTTTGATAGATTTTTTTCAATAAATCGTACCTCTCTTTCCACCGCTTTGAACTTCAATCTTTGGTATTTATCCCTTATYAATCGGTTGTTTTGTTTGAGATTTCCCATCTCAGTTTCCATRCTTTCCAACTCGATATCCTGCTGATTCAAAGAATCTTGAAGTTTGMAGTTTTCACGACTCAAGTCTTGAATTCTTTTTTCAAGTTTTTGKTTTTCATGCTCGTATCTTCTCACTTGGTTGATGAGATTGTTGTTTTCTTCTTGGAGCTTTGTAACTTTTTCGTTTAGCTAGAAATAGCGAACAAGATAACACAAGCAATTCACAAGCATAGTATGAATTATGTCAGAAGCAAATGAAATGGATGTCAAACTATTAACAAGGTGGGTCACAATACTAAAGATKGCGGAACTGCTGCACTTTTTGACATTGACATTGATACCTGTTGATTTAGACAAATATTGTGAACGGACTCTTCCAATTGCATTCTTAAATGACTGTTTTCTTGCGAYAAAATGTCAACCATCATCGTTGCTCTTGTCGCTACTTCATCCGCCTCGCCTACAACAAACCAAGGACCCGCCATAGTGTCAGCATTTATTTCACATTTTTATAAGAAACTTTAGGTCCATTTGGATTCGATATTCTAGAGGACGATTCATATACAACCTTTGCATTTAATTTAAAAAAGAAACAAAGAAAAAGGTGAAAAAGAAAAGAAAACAAGAAATCAGAAAGACAACTGAATCAGCGGCAAAACCTACTTGAATAACACTTATCATCTGAGCATCCATTCGCATCACAAYCWTTTTTYGTTATKTTTTCCATRTCATCCKTTTCAYCGTCTTTTGATTCTCGTCCTGGTTTTTTAACATCAATTTCTCGATCGTCAMAACTGGTACGATGTTGGTCTTCACATGCACTAATATGGATGAAAGGGATATKGAATTCTTGTGAGTTTTGYTTGTATCTTAGAGCTTGGTTCACCATATCAAGTTCTTGCAGACAAAGCTTTCTGCTCTCCCTTAAAAGCATCTCTCTTTCTTCAGCAACGGTGATATGCAAATCATCTGTACAAGAAACAGAATAAAAAGTTGTATTGTTGGATGGCCGATACATCTAACCATTATTGTAAATTACTTACTGATTCGAAGCGAATTCATTTCCAAAAATCAGTTCCTAGACTGCAACATTTTGCAGGACAGCCCATTCA